GTGAGACTCTGTCTCAAAAAAAAAAAAAAAAATTATATGATACCACAAAGACCCCGAATAACATAAGCAACGGAGCAAAATGAACAAAGCTAGAGGCTTCACACTACTTAACTGAAATATACTACAAAGCTATAGTAACTCAAACAGTATATTACTAGCATAAAATCAGACACAGGTATCGGAGTAGAATAGAGACTCCACAAATTATGCATTCACAGCTTACTGATTTTATACACAGTTGACAAGAAAACACATGCAGAAGATACAATCTCTTTAATAAGTTGTGTTGGGAAAACTGGATATCCATATTCAGAATGAAAAGAACCTCATCTCACACTATATACAAAAATTAACTCAAAAATGCATTAAAGACTTAAATGTAAGACCTGAAACTCTGAACCTACTTCAAGAAAATGTAAGGTGATAAGATCACTTTGGGACATTGGTCTGGACAATGCTTTTTTTGGATTTAATCTCAAAATTGCAGGTAAGAGTAAAAATTATCAAATGGGATTACTTCAAACTAAAACATTTCTACACACCAGATGCAATCAATAAAATGATTAAACAACTTTGAATGGGAGAAAATATTTGTAAAGTATGCACCTGAGAAGGGGTTAATATACTAAATATATGAGAAACTGAAATAAACAATAAAACCAACCAACTATTTCTAAATGGGCAAAAGACCTAAATATACATTTCTGAAAAGAAGACAAATGGCCCATAGATATAATAAAAATCGCTCTATATCAATAATCATCAAGGCAAATCTAACCCACTGTATCAACTCATTCATTAGAATAACTAATTAAAAAAAATAAGTTTTGGCAAAGATGTAGAGAAAAGAAAACACTTGCATTCTGTTGGTATGACTGTAAATCAGTACAGACATTATGGAAAATACTATGAAAAATTCTCGAAAAATTAAACTCCCATAGGATATAGGAATTGCACTATTGAGTATATATTAAAAAATATGAAATCAGTATGTTGAAACGTTATCTGCATACGCATGTTTATTGTAGCCCTGTTTACAATAAATAGCCAAGATATGGAATCAACCTAAGTGTCCATCATTGAATTAATGGATAAAGAATATGTGACATACATATATAGACAGAGAGAGAGAGAGAGAGAGTGAAATACTATTTAGCCGTAAAAAAAAAAACCCTGTCGTTTCCTATCACATGAACCTGGAGGACATTATGTTACTTGAAATGAGTCAGACACAGAAATACAAACACCTGATGATCTCATCCACATGTGGAATCTAAACAAACTGATTTCATTGAAGTAGAGATTAGAATGGCATTACCAGAGGCTGTGGTTTTTAGGAAGGAGGGAGGTTTGGGGAGAAAACTGTCAAAAGATACATAATTACAGATAGGAGAAATTAGTCCAAAAAAATCTGTTGTACAGCATGGCAACTATGGTTAATTTTGATATATTGTACTTTTGAAAAATGCTAAGACAGTCTATGTTAAATGTTCTCACCACAAAAATAACGACTATGAGAAGTAAAGCATTAGTAACTAGAATCAAGCATTTGATAATGTATATATACTTCAAAACATGTTTTACATGATAAATATATGAATTAAAAATACACTTTTAAAATATCAAGAAATGACAGCAATATTCCAAATATTGAGTCTGTTTTTATTATAAGCTTAGCTAAGCTGCATCAAATATGTCATTTTGTGATGTTTTTGTCATTCCATTTGTCAATCATAAGTATAGAAATTCTGTTATTTACCAGCATGTGCAGGACCTAGCACAGAACATTGCAGTGGCCAGTGCGCTTCAGGGATTTTACTTTAAGTTCAGGACACATAGGGTTCCTGGTGCCGACGGTCATGGTATGGAAGATGCTCAAGAGACAGGTGGTGCTAACATTTCCATCTCTGGCCACTCTGTAAATGTAAAAAACAAGTTTGCATCCAAAATCACCGAGAAAATGCCTCAATCCAAAACCTGTGGTGATCTTTCAGATTTAGCTAGAGAGACTGACCAAGGAGTTGGCTACGGATGGGTGACTAAGAATGAAAACAGTGGACTGTGAACTGATTCCATTAAAAAAAGGAAGATATAATATGAGCGAGAAAATCCCCAAGATTGCAACATCAATCTGGAAAAGAAAGATCATTTCAAATTTTAAATCCACAGAGGTTATTTTTTATTGCCTAACAGCACACACTCGAAAATAGAAGATTCTTCATAGAAAGATAAGTTGTGCTAAAGTGGTTCATTAAAACAACTAAGTTCAGAATTCATCACTTACCATTATCTCTTATTAAGAATTTATTTCTAAGATGTTTTCTCTTAAAAGATTTCCAAGTTCTGATGTTTTCCTTACATAGCATTTACAATATCTGGCCCACTGTTATAAATGCTTTACTTAATCTAACTAATTTCACATTTTCCACATTTTGTGTTAAGATCTAATAAGATTTTCCTTTTACAACAGAGACAAAAAATGCTAACTGCCTGATTTAACCCTCTGATCCATGAACACTGTATCCTCCTTATGTCAATGAAGTCATCAGATTATTGCATTTGTAACCTGTAAATGATCTCAAAGTCTCCACATAAAAACAAATTTTCACATTAAAAAATTTCAAACCTCCCATCAGAATCTAAACTGTACTGAATGAAATGACATGGGGTGGGGAGAACAGTGAGAGAATTGCAGCCATAACACAGGGAACAAAGGAGAAGGGCTGCTATGCATGGGTAGCTGGTAACGAACATGAAGACACAGCAAGGAACTAGAGATAATTAGGAAATGAAAGAAACAGGCTCCTATTTCTAAATTCACAGTCAGTTGTGTGTCCTGGGAACAGGCAATTTCTTACCACATACTGCACCAGTGCCATTTCTTCACCAGACTATTTTAAATTTCTTACCTGGAGCCACAAACTCACACCAACAGGACTTTTACTGCTAATTATGGAGCATCTATTACACACCAAGTGCTGTCCTGTGTCTTTTTAGTTTATATAAATGAAAAAAAAAAAAAACTCTGATATCTTTTGAAGCCTCCACATTATGTATCTCAATTGGCCTAATAAAGTCAACTAACTCAACTATGTCAATTATAAAAATTGAAATGAACAATTTTAAAAATTGGTTTAAATAGTGTCATTCAATTGAGTCAAAAAATGGAATGTACTACTTAACACAATTTAACTTAATACATTTATTATGGAATTATATTTTCAAATTATTTTGGAAGCACCATTGAGGAAGGCTATTAAAATGAGAGGATTTATATCCCTGAGCAGATCATATAAAGAATACTTTATAACCTTTGCAAGAGGAAAATTATTTATTAGGTCGGTCTAGCATGAGAAAGGCTATTAAAATGAGAAGATTTATATGGGGAATTTCAGAACCAAGAGTCATAAGATTTTTAGAGACATAGGTTTAATACAAAACAGAGAAAATACATTCACTTTCAGAATCTTTGAGTTTTCTAGTTTGCTAGTAATTTAACAGCACTTTAAAAATTACCTGGTTTGTTCCAATATTTTTCTTTTCTTCTCAAAACAGGTCCACACTTACACAAACACAATTATGTCCTCCATAATTCTCTTATGCCTAATGTGTATCATTAGAATGATAAACATATATTTAAAACCATGTAAATCAAAACTAAAAGTCTGAATGTGTATTGCATGTCAGAGAGGTTGCATGATCAGAGGAAAATATACAATGAATATTTGTACATAGCGATTTATTATTCAGAAATCTGTGACTTTGGATTATACTCCTATACTCCTTCATTATAAACATTATAATGACCCCCTAATTGCAGAAAAAAGAATGAAAATATAACCTATGGAAACAATATTCTTTGAATTTTTGAATTTTAAAGTGTCTGGGAAAAAAAATCTCCAGTGATGTTATGTTCCACTATGTTACCCAATAGCATATTGTTACCATCTGTTATCTACAACCTTGAATAAGGTGGAATAAGTTAACGTTGGTGGCACAATAACTTCATTCAATGCACAACATAGAACACATTAAAAAACTTTGTTTTATTAACACAAATTAGGTTCATATGAAGTCTTAAAAAAGCATTTCAAAATTCACTGTATTTTATTATCTTAATATTCAACTGGTAAAAAAGTTTATAAAATTTGAAACGTCTCTCATGTCACTCTGAACACCCATCTCACACCTTACTTACAAAATTGTTATAATTCACTCACAAAGAACCTCTTCACCTAGATTTTCTTTTTGTATCTTATATTTTGACTCCTTAATTTCCCATTGAAGAGTACATAAATGATGCCCATCCAATTTAGAAGAACTTTTCATATCTTTGATGTAGCAACAATTGACCACATTCTTTCCAAGAAACACTAGTAAAGAAAGCATAGCATCAACTACTTTGAAGGTTGAATTATGTCAATATTTTTCAAAATATTTGAAATTATTTCAATACAAAAGTATATTTTGAATGTAATTATTGCTATCCAAAAAATTAGTCTGCTCTGTTTAAACCTACATACAAATAAGTTATCTAACTATTTTAACTTTGAATTTTTCTCTATAAATTAACCCTCTGCTTTAGAGTAATATCTGAAATTATTAGTTCATTAGTGGTTTCTACTGTGAATTCTCTCATGCTTATTTAGACTTGATTTTTTATTAAGTTTTTATTGTTTTGCATTTACTGCATCTGTAAAATACCTTTTAGTGTGAATTCCGGTGTTTCGTAAGGTGCATTTTTTTTTCTTTGAGACAGAGTCTCACTCTGTTGCCCAGGCTAGAGTGCTGTGGCATCAGGGTAGCTCACAGCAACCTCAAACTTCTGGGCTTAAGTGATCCTCCAGCCTCAGCCTTCCAATGAGCTGACTATAGATACATGCCACCATGGCCAACTAATTTTTTCTATTTTTAGTAAAGACAGGGTCTCGCTCTCCCTCAGGCTGGTCTTGAACTCCTGAGCTCAAGCAATCCTTCTGCCTCAGCCTTCCAGAGTGCTTAGGATTACAGGCATGAGCCACTGTGCCTGGCCCTAACATACATTTTTTGAACAAATGTTCTGCATTCATTACATGTGTAGGGTTTCTCTCCACTCTGAATTCTCTGGAGTTGGATAAAGTTTGACCAGCTATTGGAAGGTTACCTGAATTATCCTGTGTACCATAAGATCTGTGTTATAAGTAAAGGTATTACAATATTATTTATATTTGTACTGAATATTTTTTGTGTAGTAATACCCTGAAGCATTGTGAGGCATTTATTTTGTGAAAGGCATTACAGCAATGATTACATTTATATCCCTTTTATACAGTATTAATTCTCTGATGTTAAGTAATATGTGAGCAGTTTTTAAAGGCATTTCCACATTCTTTACATTTGTAGGATTTTTCTCATGTATGAATTCTCTCACGTATGGTAAGTTAAAGGCACCGGGTAAAGGCTATGTCACATTCTTCGTATTTGTAGGGTTTCTCTCCAGCATGCATTCTCTTATGTTCAGTGAACTGTGAAGACTGTTTAAAGGCTTTGCCACATTCTTCACATTTGTAGGGTTTCTTTCCACTATGAATTCTCTTATGTTTGGTAATATTTTGGCACCTGTTAAAAGCTTTGCCACATTCCTTACCTCTGTAGGGTTTCTCTCTACTATGAATTCTTTTATGTACAGAAAGGTATGAGCAATCATTAAAGGCTTTGCCACATTCTTCACATTTGTAGGGTCTCTCTCCCGTGTGAATTATCTTATGTCTAGAGAGACTTCTATGACACTTAAAAGCTTTCCCACATTCTTTACATTTGTAGGGTTTCTCTCCAGTATGCACTGTCTTATGTTCAGTGAGGTGTGAGTGCCGTTTAAAGGTTTTGCCACATTCTTCACATTTGTAGGGTCTCTCTCCCGTATGAATTATCTTATGTCTAGAGAGATTTCTGTTACGCTTAAAAGCTTTCCCACATTCTTCACATTTGTAGGGTTTCTCTCCAGTATGAATTCGCTTATGTTCAGTGATGTGTGAGAGCTGTTTAAAGGTTTTGCCGCATTCTTCACATTTGTAGCGTTTCTCTCCAGTATGAATTCTCTTATGTTTAGTAAGGTCTGAGCACCAGTTGCCACATTCTTCACATTTGTAGCATTTTTCTCTGGTATGAATTATCTTGTGTTTGGAAAGGTTTGAGCTGTGGTTAAACGCTTTGTCATGTTCTTTACATTTATCATATTTCTCTGCAGCACAAATTCTTTTGGGTTCAGTAAAGGGTGAACTTTGGTTAAAGGCTTTGCCACATTCCTTATGTTTGAAAAGTTTTTCTACAGTATGTCTTATCTTATGTCTATTTAGATTTGAGAATTTTCTAAGGACTTTCAAACATTTATTATATTGGAAGATTTGGCAATGGGTACTTTTTGAACATTGGTTAAATCCATTGCGACAACATAGCTTCCCCTTACACTCATTCACACTTTGGCAGTCTTTCAGCAAATTTAAATTCTCAAGACCACATCTTCCATAACTTCTCAGTATCACTTTTTGGAACGAATCTTTTATGCTCTGCTCTGGCAAATGGTCTTGAATGTAATAAGAAGACATAGCTGAAAAAAAGAAAAACAAGAGATTATCCCAATTATTTGGGATTTTTTTCAGACTCTGATGAATATGCAGTATAAGTTTAACATATGATATTATACCAAGCACATTAGCAAGATGGCTTAATAAGGTGCCACTTGTTCTAATTCCTTCATAAACACATAAACTTAATAAAAATGTACTGAAAAAACTGCGTTTGTGAGAATTCTGAAAACTAGTTGAATGTCTTCAGAACCTCAGGACAGCACAATGCCTAGAGGCACACTGGAAAGAAAGAAATTTTATTACGTGTATCCATCCACCACAGACCCTCCTCCTCCTTAATACAGCATGGTACATGTTGGATTAAACTACAAACTCCTGGATTCTCTCAAGAGAAAGAAAGTAGTGGCAAATGTGCCCATGCTTCTGGATTTTGGGGGCCTTTTCAAAGACCAGTTTCTTCCTCCCATGACACAAAGTGCTGAAAGGAATGGTGCTATGCTTTAGAGGACAGACTAGGTTTTATGGAACCAAAGGCAAATAACTGTTACAGAAGCAAAGAGACTTCAGTACCACAGACAGACAAGTGTGGTAAGTGATTACAGGCCCTTAAGAAAAAATATGGTAAAATCTCTTTAACTGGAAAATAAACACACAATTCCAAAGACGAAATATCCTGAGAACAGATGTGTGGGCTCCCAGAATCTCTAGCACAGCAAATTGGTGTCAGAATCCCCCAAGACAAAGCCACTTTATAAAGACTGTGATAGGTGGCTTTTTCTTTAATCCCCAAATATCAACCAAAGATTACCTACAACATATGTGAAGAATCAGGGTACCCTAGCCCAATAAAAGAAACAAAATAAATAATTAGAAATCAACTATTAGGAAGTAGATATATATATATTACCTATAAAATTTGAAAATTACATCTGAATGATGCTTAATGAATGAATGAAATAAAAACACGGACAACTAAACAAAATCAGAAAAATGAGAACATCAACAAAAGTTTAATAGCATAAAAGGAAACAAATTGTGGAGCTAAAGAATACAAAATAAAATGACCAAGAAATTTTCAAATGTAAGAAAAAAGATTTTAAAAAAGCAAAAATCTCAATACATTTCACCTAGGATAAACAAAAAGATCTATGAGACAGATTATAAGCAATGTTTTGAAAGTCACAGACAAGAAGAGCATCTAGAAAGCAGCAAATGATGTGATGTGTCATCTCTAAGCATGTTCCTATGAGACTCTCAATGGATTTATCAACTGAACCCTTACATGCCAGAAAAGAGTTGGGTGATACAGTCAAAGTGCTGAAAAAAAACAAAAACTTCGAAGCAGAAATACTATCCCTAGCAAAACTGGCTTTCTAAATGAAGAAAAAAAAACTTACCAACATAACCAGATGCTAAAAATGTCTGCCACCACTAGACCTGCCCTACAAGTAATGCCAAAGAGAGCCCCTTTCATTTAAAATAAAATGAGTCCAGATAACAACACAAAATTACATAAAAATAAATAACTCTGAGAAAGATATGGAAGTACACCTAAATAAAATTCTGTAGTATTATAATGATGGTGCAGAAAACAATTTTAATCATACTCTAAAATTTAAAAGACAAAAGCATAAAAATAATCATAAATATCTGTTAATGGATGTACAGTATAACAAGATATAATTAGAGACATGAGTAACCTAAAGTTGAGGGCAGATATAATGAGGAAGAACTTTTGTATACAATTAAAAATAAATTGTTACTTACAAGTTTAAAATATACTGTTGTAACTATGAGAGGTTTTATGTAATCCTCATGGTAACAACATTGAAAATGCCAATAGAGATACAGTAAAAAAAATAAGAAAAGATTCAAGGCATGTCATTATAAAAATCATTGAGACACAAAGGAAGACAGAAAAAGAGGAAAAAAATAACTACGAGAATAAAAAATAAAATAAAATGGCAATAGTAAGTACTTCTCATTCAAAAATTGTTTAAATATTCATGGACTAAACTTCCCAATCAAAAGACA